CATTTTATTTTGAAGAAAATCAACCACCTCAAAGGGTGGCTGTTCACGCATGAAGATTCATTTTTATAAATAGCGCCTGACTTTAATTTAGGAGCAATTACTTTTAGCAATTATTTAGTTGATTTTGCTATTTCTCCAATTCAAGGCATTTTTCTCTCGATATACTTTGCGTAGTGTCGTAGTGAGAACCTATTTTTATTATCTCCAGTATCAAGTCCTGTATAGTGGCGAACTAGGGGATATTTCAATGAAACTTAGCAAATAGATGTAATTCCACGTACTTTTGAGGTCGGTTTTTTAGTACTCTGTACTGAGATTATGTTTATTAAATTTTCAATTTAAGTAAAAACGATGTATTAATGGAAAAAAGGAAATATAGATAGAAGAGGTACAGTGTCGATAATTTTACAATACACGTAAGCTCGTGGAGTATCAAATGAAGACTGAGATTACAGATTTTCTTTCCCTTATCTACATGATTCCTATCTCCCTACTTGGAGATTTTCTTTCCCTTATCTACATGATGTCTATCTCCCTACTTGCTTATTATACGTCACCTTCGTCCGCTTGAATTCTTAGTTTTATCACAAGCATGATTTACATTTGCAGTTTTTGTATTGATTTTTTTAGTTTCCCGCCGGATCCTTTTTAAAGGAGAAACGGGCTGAAGAAACAGGCAGTAAAAGCTGGGTACCTACTAATTGTAGTACCATTTGCTATAGGCATTTTATGACATCACATTAAATTATATACATATAAATAACAACCAAAAAATTCATGAAGAAATAAATGATTTGGTTAATCAGGTAATATATGACTTGACTCAGAGTCGCATTCACAAATTATAGACCACATCTAAATGTGAAAACATTTCTGAAGCAATGTCAGTTATTTTTCATCAAGTTTTCGTGAAACAAATGATTCGCTTCTTCGCCTTCGGAAATAAGTAGCTCGTCGACGCTATAGGTGTAGTCATGTTCAGTCAGTTCAGAAAGAGGTAATTGTTGAACAAATATATCATATTTCAGGGAGAACAAAGATTTTTATGATGACTGTTTTAATATTTCAACCCTTCCAGTGATCGGATTGACTCGAAATCTAGTAGGTTAATGAAAGTACGATGATGATGAATAAATCATTAATACTGTGATTGTAGTATGTAGCTACGTATACGTACACGCCTGCGTAGCTAATGTCAATTAATATTTGCGTGTAGTAAAACCATACGCGTATTTGGTAACAAATGTGTGCGTGTAAAAGTCAGCTACGCTAGTTCTCGAAGAAATTCCTTTAAATGCCGTTTCCATATACTCCGTGGTTTTAATCTTAATTATAGCAAGTATAAATGCCTAGTTCAATATTCGGCTAGTTATTAAATATAATGTCGGTACTTATCAATTAAATGTCACATCCCTATCTGTAGATTGTCAACTTTTTGCTTTTGTTCCAAGAAGTTTATGTTCATAGGATTCTTAGCCATTTTGTGACTAGTAATAATAAAACCTTATTAAATTCAAATAAGTTTTCAATTTTTTTTAACAAAAGTTTTTAATTACTGTCTATTTTCGTTTGATAATTTATAACCAAACAAAATTATGTTATCTTAGTACTAATGCAAGATTGCGTTTTCAAATGTGTGGTGTGGCGACACCGGTTTTGATACAAATGTTGCTTGATGCCATTTCCATTCTTTTCTTTCTTCCGTGGTTAATATACACTTACATTCTATAATTTCTCTTTTTATGACGATCACTACGCGACCTAACACTGTTTTAATTAACCGACTTCGAATAAAAGGAGGAGATTATACGTTCGGCTCACTAAGTTTTCCGGTTCTTCCGTCAATTGTGGACCGATTTTGAGAATTCGTCTGTCTTTTCAGACAAAAACGAATCCAAATGTTCAAACCCTTTCGGGTGCACTCTCGTGGTGGTCCCATTGTCACCAAGTCAGAACTTGATGAGGGGATCCACGAAAATAGAAGAAAATTCTATAAAGAGGCCTGTCATTGTACTTACCGATTTCTCCGTCAATTGTGGATTGATTTTGAAAATTCTTTTTTTGTTTGAAAGGGTATACTCTCGAGGTAGTCTCTGATGCTGACGATAATGTTCCGGGTTCGTTTCGGCTATCACAAATAAAAAAATATTCTGCAAATAGAAGTCCAATTTCCATTTGACACAATACATGTAATCAAAAGATCACTATCACCCTGACAACCAGAAAAAAAGTGCGAAATGTACAAAGGAGTCCGACAAACAGTCCCATTGTCACCAAGTCAAAATCTGATGAGGGTACATCGAAATCGAAAAAAGCCGATAAACAAACTTTTTTTAATGAACAAGTTACAATTAACGAACGAACAAATAACGAACATAATTTATAAAAACACAACGTCAATTTATCTAAATTTCATCCATAAATAGGTTTATCGAAAAACGATATCCCTAATTCTAATATATTAATTATAATTTGGCTTGAAAACATATTCGGAAACGCTCGCTCGGCTCGTGCTGCTTTTTCATGTTCTAACCTAACTTTTTACTTAATGGGAGCCGCAACCAATATTTTACCTATGTCCGCGTGACAACGCTGTACCGTCTGTGGCGGTCTTTGGCATGGTGGAGCGCATCATGGACAACCATACCGAGAGCCGTACAAACTTGGTCGGACCACCTTGTGGGACTGCGACCCCTCAGACGTTTACCTTCGATCCGTCCAGTGACCATTAGATGTTCGAAGTTGTGCCCTTCTTTCCTGGCAATGTGACCTAAGAAATCAAGTATCCTACATAGGCCTAGAGTGGACAATCTGGTCTGTATGTTAAGTTCCCGTAGAATTGAGTCGATGTGAAAATCAGGCCAACGGACTCTCAACATTTCCTCCAGCACCACATCTGGAAGGTGTCAATGCGGTCACGTTCCGCCCTTTTTTAGAGTCTACGTTTCCACTCCATAGTTAAAAATGGAAAACACCAATGAGCACCAATCTCATCTTGTTTTACGCGTGATATTACGATCCTTCCATACTCTCTGCAGTTGGGCCTTAGCATCTTTACCCATTCCTATTCGCCTTCGAATCTCCTTTACGCACGATCCAAATGTTTGTTACATGAACGTCATATCAAACAAGAATTCATCATCATCATATCAGCCGAAAGACGTCCACTGCTGATCATAGGCCTCCCCCAAAGATTTCCAGACTAGCCGATCGGACGTGACGTGCAACCATCGGTTACCAGTTATACATGAAGTTAAATTGTAACGGTATTTGTTTTGAAATTAGTTTATTTAATTTTCATATAAGCGAGGCCTCGATATTATTATTTATAATGGCAGTTAAATTGTGCAAAATACCAGCGCATATTTCTTTCATGTAGTCATTTTCTCCCTCCGTATAAAATTAATAAAATATGAAACATTATCAAGTTACAAATATCAAAAATAAACCAGACACGTGTTTCGCGTCTCTCCGAAAGCATCCTCAGCGGTTGTCGATTGTTCTACACTAGGCCGAAGAGTGAGCTTGTTCTTTTTTTTGTGAAGGACATTTGCAGTTGGCCTCTGATGACCTTGACTGCGCCATCGGATAAGAGGGCGAGATGAAAGCTCTGAACCCATTAAAATAGACTTAAATCTAAGTAGCGGGCCTGAGGGCGCCCAAGTGGGCACGGACCTCGGTTCAGGGCGCTACTGAGAACCTCCTTCAGAAGGGTGAGCAGAACCTACTAGTCGTGCTGAAATGAGGGGCTCTATGACCTCGCCGACGAGGACGGTTGGTGCGTGTGGAGATGGACTGATTTGCGATCTGGTTGGCTTTCAAAATGGCGAGAGTGACAGGGTCGTCAGGATCGTTGAGGACTTCCCTTGGCCGACGGGTGCTTCATACGCGGTGGTGGTGTTCCCTGTGGAGGTCATAGTTCGATGCAGCCACCACGAGGGGGTTGGGGGGGGTGGTGAAGAGCAGAGTCGAAGTATTACCTCGATGTCTGTTTCATGAATGGGGCTACTGTGGGGAGCCGTAAATCTATGAGGTTAGCGTTGCGCAGGTACCACGGGTCACCCGTCGCGTTGCGCATGAATCTATTTTGGAGAGCCTGCAGGCGGTGTATGAGGGCGGGATTTGCCTGTACGAATACATCGCGGGCATTCATCATAACTGGGCAGATGCATGTCGTTTGCAATCTCACCTTATTATGAAAGGAGAGTTTACTATGCTTGTTGAGAAGGGGGTGGAGGCGGCTCAAAGGGCGCCAATGGGCATGAAGCGTGGGCGATCGAAACGTTCGGAGATATGCTCCACTATCCGGTGCACTTGCGGAACGCATAAGTTCCTAGCTCTAAAACCAACGTCGGGGAGGAGATTGTGGGATATGACGTAGTCTCTGAGGCGGGCGTAGAGGATGCGCTCATAGTTTGCCCATGGTGTTAAGTAGGGAGCCGGGGTGGCAACTGGAGAGCTCAGAGAGAAGTTTCCTGGGCTTGAGAATACCGATGACTACTGCCTCTTTCCTTTTTGCAGGAAGATGCAATTTGTCAGAGCGGCTTTGAAAATTGCTGTGAAAAGACATATGAGGGATACGGAGAGGTTTTTGACCTTGCTGGAGATACTGTCAAGGCCGGGGGCTTTGTGGGGCGTAAGGTCCTTGATGAGCAATTCTACTTCCTTTGGGGTGACCGAGAGGAGAAGAGGGTCGGAGGGCGGGAGGGTTGCTCTGAGTTCGACGTCGGAGTCCACCTTGAAGCGGTGGGCCGGGTCTACCGGTTCTAAGCTGGGGGAGCACTGGATTTCGAGGCTATCGGCCAGGCATTCGGCCTTTTCCTCGTAGTTAAATGCTAAGGTGCGGTTGGGTCGTGCCTTACTTAAGAGAACGGACTCGAGCCCTTCGAGAAGCCCGTCCCATCAACTTTGATGCACCTCGTCCATACGCGTATTTACGTCCCTCAGTAAAGCCCGCAGGAAACGGCGGTTTTCGGAGTCATAAGCACGAGTGGCTGCGTTCTTTTCCGTTAGAAGGGCACGTACATCCCCCGGTAGGTTCCAGCGGGAGCTGTTACAAACGGCGGTTTGTATGTGTCCCTCTAGATGGTCAATAGCACATTTGGCGTCTACGACTGAAAGAAAGAAATCTCGTCCGGAATCTGAACTAGATGTTCAGACTCGAGGAAATTGAGGTCCTGACTCAACTTCCCCCAGTCCAACACCGATTTAATGGGGGCGCAAGGTTCAGGTGGGGCTATGTCCAAACGAAGGGAGAGGTGAAGGATGAAGGTGGCGGGGATCCGAAACTAATTCGTGAACAACCTGGATCGAGTCTAATCCAAGGTTAATATTTTTGAATAATGCTGCGTCTAGGATGTCGAGGCGGTAATTAATGTTATGCGGATAGTGGGTGGATTCTAAGGGTGCAATTATACCGAATTAGTATCATGAGGGTGTTACCGCGCGGGTTGGTGATGTTATGATTCCATGCAGTATTTTTGACATTAAGGTCGCTACTCAGGACAGAATCTCCTAGGGACAAGAGGGCTTGTAGGTCTTCGCGAATTAGCGATCGGGAAGTATCAGGGAAGAGGTAGACGGAAATGAGGGTAATCGGTGGGTGGCCGGTGAAGCTGAGCCGATACGCCGATGCCTCGATGCTACCTTATTCAGATCGGTTGCTCATATTTATACCCTACTACCCTCACAATTACCATCATTATATTTGAATAGCAATTAATTTACTTCCATTTTGATGAACATAGATTCTCGCATAGTAATGCCTAAATTATTATACACACTTATTTGGAAAATGCAACTTCGAAGAACTATATTACTAACATCGTAAACAACCACTTTTGTTCCATGATTTTTATAATTCATCGGATTTTACTTTCATACAAAAATAAATAGATTTAAATAGATCGCTCTAAACGGTAATAAGTCTGTACAGAACGGGGGTGGGAGTCATCGCGGAAGACGCTTCCACGTTTGAACTTGTTCTACTAAATACGGATCAAAAATGTGTCAGATAGGATAGTATGTACAACAAGAACATAATATTACTTTTGGTAAATTTATTATGTATTGTAATAATGTTAGTATTGTAGTCCTAGGTTAAAATAACCCTGCATATGCTCCCGACGAGTTCTGTATAGTATAGAAAGAAGAACTCGCAGGGTGCTGAGAGCTAATAATAATAACGCACCGTACTGGGTAAACCCAGTATCGCGGGTGCCACGGATACACATATACAACAACAAATTACACCAGAGAAATAAATGTAGGCCATACAAATATTTCTATCGGCCCGGGAATCGAACCCGGGACCTCTGTGTAGCAGTCCAACATGGTAACCGTTCGGCCACTGAGGCAGTAAATTATTAACGTGCCTATTCTGAAAGCTAAACAGTAAGAATTTGACTGAACTTACACGTCGGCAACTGTCGGAAGCCTCGTCGGATCGCGACGGCGAGTAGGATCGTCCACGCAAGATTTTCTCTTCGCCGCCATCACGTCTGCCAACACGAAAGAAGTCGATCCAAGATCGCTATCCGCATTTACATCGCGGGGGGCTATTGACGAGTGCAACTGACCAATGGTCAGTTTTGCTCGCCAGCGCATACGAGCCGCAGTACCGCAGAGTCGGTAGCTCGGATTCGATTCTATTCCACTAGCGAATACGCACTTCGGCGCACACTAATAGATTTCGGATTCCGGCACCTTCCACCGCTGTATCCTCTCATGCTCTTCAATACCACAGAGAGTAATACGCTGGCGATACTAAGAGGTCGGTCTCAGAGCATTGAAATTTATACCTTATTATTATATTAATATATTAATGTCCTCTGCCTTCATGTTCGCCAGCGCTTGCCCCTAAAGATGGCTCACGTCACAGCAAAATATTAAAATGTTGATAATACCGCGCAGGGACATTGGACTCCGCACGGTATCCAGCTACGATGACATCGCTATCAGCAGTATTAAAATGTTTACGATATCCTGTTAGGACATCATATATACTAGGATTCTGTACGTGTAGGTGTGCAGGCGTTCGATATTTTATTACTGGAACAAGTACTCGCAGTTGTTCCCTGGAGAAGCACTTCTCATCGAGAACTATCAGGCCAACTTTGAACCATTCCATTTAACCTGAAGGCTATAGTAATTTTTGCATTGTTATGTTAATATTCAACAGAAACTTTGTTATAATAAGTCGAGATAAATTGTTTCAGAATGTAGAAATTTTATTTAATTCGGAGTCCAAATCATTATTAGAAATCTTTTACTAAATTTACTATGAAACTATAGAATTTAATCCAAAGATTGGCTGGCTAAGCGAACATCTCGAGTTACAAATACCACGCGATATATGCAGTTCAAACTGCGAGTAGATATTCCTCGATCTTAAGTAGCTAATAGTGCAAAAATATAAATTACGAACTTTAAACACAAATTGTCAAGCCCTCGACTCTGAGCTTTTATAACCAAACAAGTGGGTAGAACTTCAAAGTCAGAGGCTGACTGATTTGTATAACCAGAAACCAACTACTAACCATGGTGCTACAAATCTAATTAAGTCACCAGTAAGTGAAGCCAAGATCTTCAAGATATACAATGACTGTACGACTATTTTCACATGCTCCTACGACTACGCGCTCTTACTGGTAGGAGCACGAGGACCTGTACTTCCTTTCTGTCCTAAATATTTATTATCTACAGTAATTTCGTGGTATAAAAAAATTTTGGTATTTATTATCGGCGACGAGATCATCTCTCGATACTCCTGCTTTCGAAACTGTCAAATGACCCGTTTCGAAACTGTCAAATCGCGTTGTCATAACACATTCTCAGGTCTAGCCCCGATCGAAACACGGGTCATCAAAAGTGGAAAAATCGTGCTTCAAGAGTAGGGCCCAGGACCGAGTTCGTTTTCACCGAAGTTGTTGGTTCTTTGACTTTCCCAAACGGACGCGTGTCCATATTCAGCCATGTCTTTTGAAATTTTATAAAAATGACAGGACATTAAGTAGGACCACGAGGATATATTTTTCTTATTGGTACTACCGGTTAAGAGCATAAGGACATATTAATATACCTCGTGATACTACTACTGAGAGCACCCAGTAGGAGCATGAGAAAACTCTTTTCTGTACCATTTAATTAACATGTCATTCCATGTGGGCATAATTAGGTCAAAGTTAGGAAATGAAAATGAAATTACTTTTTGCTTCCGCGTCCTCCCTCTGATGCACCTAGGTCACTGTAACAATAGGAACATGTCAAGCATCGTAACAATGCACCTTTTTACCAAGCACATCCATAGTTACGCAGAGCGTCCTCGTTATAAGGCGGTTCATCATTTGATAGTAGACTATCACTAAATAATTCGGACATAATTCGAGTCACAAAGGGCTAGAATACAAAAAAATGGTTCCCTAGGTTCCAAAGCCACGTGTGATATATTTATTCCTCATACGTTTCTCACATGAAAATCACAAAAATAATACTGGACTAATTTTTAACAGACTTCAGAAAAGGAGGAAGTTCTTAATTGGACTTTTTTGTGTACGTTTCGCAATTACTCCGGTATTTGTAAACGGATGTTGACGATTCCTGTTTGTTAGAAAGATGGTGCAGTATTGATCCCATTAAAGTTGCAAATATTACATACGGATACATACTCTAGTTTGCCACCATTAGAGGAATGGTGGCAAACTAGAGTATGTATCCGTTTCTTTTCGGTAACCGATTTCAAATAAACCTTGACAAATAGACGTATGAGATCATTGACTTACAAATAAATGGACGACGGGTCTAATACAAAAACCACGAAAAAAATGTCCCAAGTCAACCTATTTAAACGTAGTGACATGTAAAGGAATATGAAAAAGTTAAAACGTTAGATTTAAATTGTAATGTCATCGCAGTACTGTCTAATTTTGCTTACTTCTCTGTCAGTCGAACAAACGAAGACTAAAGCGTTCGGACACTTTTTAGCGCGGACCCGACGTCCATATAATTGTAAGTCAATGTATGAGATACATCGAGTACGTATAATCAGAAATAAGAAACGAAATGCCATTTAATTTGTTTGAAAAACTATTTCATCATTCATGAAATCATTTCGGTGACAACTGCGCTCCGATTGGCCAGCCCGAATTCGAAACTATTAACGGGTGTCGTCAATTGTTTAACTTCAAATCTACCAGTTTAACTTGAGCTTTGCTACAATGGAGGAAAATTAAGAAAATACGTATTTAATATTTAATTACCGATGAAATGTGATTCCGTTTGTTTTTAACCGACTTCAAAAAAAGCAGGAGGGTCTCAATTCGACTATGTTTTTTTGTATTTTTTTTGTATGTGTGTTACGCGATAACTCCGGTATTTGTGAACCGATTTTCATGACTCTTTTTTTGTTGGAAAGAGGGTACCTTCATAGTGGTCCCATTTCATTTTGAAGAAAATCATCCACCTCTAAGGATGGCTGATCACGCATGAACATTCATTTTTATAAATAACGCCTAAATTTTACTTAAAGAGCAATTATTTTAATGGTTGGTTTTGCTATTCCCCAATTCAAGGCAAACCGATTTTTATTATCTCCTGTGTAAGTCCTGTATAGTGGCGAACTAGGGAATATTTCAATAAAACTTGGCAAATAGATTAATTCCACGTACTTTTGAGGTCGGTTCTTTTAGTACTCTGTACTGAGATTATGTAATCAGATGTTTAACAACCGAACAGCCTCCCATTGTAAGAGATATTATCTTTATTACAATAAATACTGAATATTTTTGGAATATATTTCAGCTTTCTAATTTGTGAGTTCAGCGCAAACGAGAGTGGATATTTAAAAGTGATATAAGGCCCATTTGCCTCACGAGTTGCCAGGGATGGATGGCTCTGATTTCGTCTCTATTTCTGAGTATATACTCGATGGGCATTGGATACTAAACAAGCAAGGCGGCTCGAATTACGTCCGGGTGTGTATATTATATTTCGTTTTCCAGTCTTACACCTTTGTAATGTTATAGTAATGTTAAATATGGTTGACAAAAGTGCGTGCGGCATGGCCCCGCCGATGAACCTGACCTGCGTAAAACCGACGTGAGGGCAATTCGCACCCCTCATGGAAAAATAGCATATGTGATTTTCACATTTTTTATGTAACCAATGGAGCAATCTTTACTTATGCCATTCTTCAATGGGGCGTGCGAATTTGTTTCATTTTAAAAAAGTATCATTTTTTTATTTATACAAGGTCATTTTTAAAATACTAACAACCCCGCAGCACTATATTACTAACATCATAAACAACAACTTTTGTGATGAAAGTTATCATAAAACACATTGACTTACAAATAAATGGACGACGGGTCTAATACAAAAACCACGAAAAAAATTTCCCAAGTCAACCTATTTCAACGTAGTGACATGTCAAGGAATATGAAAAAGCTAAAACGTTGAATTTAAATTGTAATGTCATCGCAGTACTGTCTAATTTTGCTTGCTTCGCTGTCAGTCGAACAAACGAAAACTAGAGCGTGAATGACGCTCTGTATACGATTTTAACGCCCTATAAGTTCGGACACTTTTTAGCGCGGACCCGACGTCCATATAATTGTAAGTCAATGATAAAACATGATAAATATATTTTTTTGTACTATCTGATACTTTTTAGATCTATGTTTGGTAGTAAGTTAAGCGTCTTCTGCCCCCCTGTTCACACGGCATTATAAATCTTACTGAATACACAGTGGCACATACATTGACATAGAACCGTTCAACCATTCACACGGTGTTTATCCTGCAAAACAACGCACACAGCTCTATACGTTTATCGAATACGCAAGGGCTTGTCAAGCACATCGAATGAACTTTACCGTATTCGGTTTGCAGTGGTTCTTTCTCACGGCGTGCAGTCATACGTTTTTTATCGAACAGTCACCGAACAAGCGGCGTCTATTGAAGCATCTTTTGGAAGGAGGGCACGCATAATTTTATTAATACAAAATAACCGGCGAATCTTTTATGGAGAACGATTTATTTATTGATACCTTTAGTGGAACAAAGGCCCGTTTTGTGGGAGAAAACTATGGAATTGTATAAACCCAATACATTGCCTTCTTCCGGCGGCAAGGCCGTTGGCGTCTTCTATGCCAGTATAAAAGTGCAACAAAGCGTGGGTCCATCACAGGGCGATTGATGTGCGAACACTGCGGCTATCCGTCTTCCTAAATGTATGAAAATATATCGTGTGAACACCTCGCTGTCTGGATAGACTATATACGGGTGGATTATATACGGATGTATATAATCGAATATAACTTACGAAAACGTCCAGGACAATGCCGTGTGAACGAAGGCTATGACTTATCCCACGTTTTGCACTGAGTTTTCACCATTTAGAGATCAATTCAAGTATTTTTATTTTTGTAAGAATGTAAAATTTTATTTACTAAAATTCATGTAACTAAATTTGTTGTTTATGGTGTTAGCAATACAGACCTGGGAGCTTGTTAGTATTAGAAATAACCCTGTATATCATATATCTATACAAAATTTCGTACAGTTCAAAATTAATACTTTCCTATCTACGTGCATTCTCTTCATGTACTAGTTATAAATAACCATACTACCCCCCTCCTTATTATAACTAACGCATTTGCATTTTGTACCTTTCGCGTAGAGATGCCACGAATAGTGATTTGGCCGAATACCGAATACCGAATATTCTACCACGCTCTCGGCCGAAGCACCGAATTTTCGGCGTAAGATCCATGCATTTCACGCGCCACCTGTTACGACCTGTCTCATTGCGCTGCGTGCGGAGGTAACGCGAGTTTGTTGAGAAATTGTAAGACGATAGAATTAACACATGACAGTTTCTGGACCTGTTTTGAAGAAGTCGCTACAGATAATATGCAAAATGTTGGGAATGCGGGAAAAGTTCTATTGCGTATGAGATTAATTTTTATTTGAAAACTGTTCGCCTAAATCGGACGGCAGAGCCTTACAAGTGGTGGTCAGCAAACGCGAAGCAGTACCCAAGCCTGTCAAAATTCGCTAAGATTTATCCATCGTCTCCTGGCAGTAGTGTTTATAGTGAGAGGCTTTTTTCAGAGGCAGGAATTGTTTATGAGGAAAAGCGTGATCGTTTGTTACCAACCAATGCTGCAAAGATTCATTCATCACAACCTGCCACTGATTGATTTTAGGCAAATACATTACATTATATTTTAAATAGTATGTGCTATTTTTCATTATTTCATGTATTCGGCCGAATAGTCGTAGTATTCGGCCAAATACCAAACATTAAAAAAAGTGGCCGTGTAGGCCGAATACCGAATAGTAGCCGAATATTCGTGGCATCTCTACTTCCGAGAAATTGGCATTTGTTTTTTTTGCTAGTAAAAAACATCAAAACAATTATGCTACGTTACTTCAGAATAAAACTAAAACTAAATAAGATGTTACAAAACCGATTAGCGGGGTTCGTAGATCTCGTTTCACGGGACTTCCAAATATGTTAAGGCAAGTCACCGGAGGAGAAGCGGGCAAAACTGTTTTGCTAGATTAAATGGTTAAGGTATTTACCATTAAATCACAAAAAAATTACAATTTACTTAAGGATATTGTCTAAAGAAAGTGCTAATCTGTTACACGATATGATGTACTTCGCCCGCCCATATAAAATCCGGAAAACAGGATAAAATAAATGTCTAAAACAATTATTTATGAATAAAATATCTAACTTTGCCATTGACTTACAAATAAATGGACGACGGGTCTAATACAAAAACCACGAATAAAATGTCCCAAGTCAACCTATTCGAAATTTAAATTGTTATGTCATCGCAGTATCGCGCTGTCAGTAGAACAAATGAAGACTAAAGCGGAGTGTCGCGCTCTGTATACGATTTTAGCGCCTTACAAGTGCGGACACTTTTTAGCGCGGACCCGACGTCCATATAATTGTAAGTCAATGAACTTTGCGCATAATTTTTATATCGAGATGTTTATCTTTATATACTGAAAAATAGTTGTTAAATTCACATTTTTTTCAAAATTTTAAAATTTCCCAGCGGTTAAACGACCAGCGCGACTCCTGCTTATTTTATTCATATTATTATTAAATTTCAACGCGCGGGTTGCAAACCTCGTCTAAAATGTAGGCTCATGCCTCTATGACCCCACCACGATCACAGATAGCGAACTCGTTTTGGATAAAGATGTAGATTACGTAAGCTATGGAGAACAGCAATCAATAGCGGAATGAGAAGCTTATATGAGCAAGCGTCTGTTAAACAAAAAAGCTTCCACAAATGATATCAAACCGCCTTATAAAGAGGTTTATTTTCTATACATAAATACTGACCAGTTGAGCACACCAGAGGGATTACGCTTGGCATTATCCGCCATTGACTTGATGGTCCTTGAACAAACATACTCGTTTCACTATATGGTTGATACGTTTAGTAACACGGAAGAAAAAAAACAATGGAAGTACCGTATGCCTCGTTTACTATCAGAACCGATGTTGCCAAAACTCACACACACAAATCTTAATTTCAAACACTACGAAATCTTGATAATGACCGGTCGTAGTTTTAAATTTAAAAAGAAATAAATTCTGGATTGTTAATATAATTTAAACTGCCTGTTGGCATATTGTTGAAAGTTCAACAATATCAATACCTATTATTGCAAGTCACGTTTTGATATGTTGAAATTTCAATCAATGTGCTGCCATCTAGCGGTTAATTGCTAAACGACGACGAATTGGAAATTATTTAGTTCTCCAAAAAGAAAGCAACCATATTGCAGGCGTACCTATAAGCTTTACTTTCGTTTCTTGTAACAAAAAAAAATGTTTCTACTATTTTAGAAAGAATTTGCACGAAAGAATGACACGGCCATACCATACAAAGCAAAAATGGCGGACTACGCTCAATTAAGTCTAACGAGACCACCACTAACCACTTCTACTGTATTTATTGTTCTGTATTTAGTACCTATTGTTTCTATTAAAAACTCACAAGACCTTCCGGACTTATCAGGTACATAAGTGAGTAAATTCGAGGTTACAAAGGTCCAATTTGATAAAATGCCATGCTATAGTAAATTTAGAAGACCTGAGTTGGTGGGCCAGCGCGGTGATGGCAGATCTAGTCACCAAAGCATCTTACCACACATGGTGGCCGTTGATGAAGACCTTTTACTGCAAGGTGAGATCATAAACTCTTAAGTCTCACCTGCTTGAGGACAACGACGACTCTGGCGATGCCGAAGTGCGCCTTGATGCAGCTCTCTTAGTGCTGAAACTACCGGTTGCACTTTGTATTTCTTTACAAAATAGTGATATTAGCGAAGAAATGATTATTACCTCAAATCCGACTTCTTCTGGATCTCCGAGGCGTCATGTTCAGCGGTAGCTTTGGTCTTTTTAACTACTTTCCCATCGACTTGACCACTCTCAGAATGGCGTCGTGCAGCGGCTGCTCGGCGACGTCTGATCAAGGAAGACAAGTGATTTATTATTTTCTTTACTATCTTTGTTTTTTTTATGATACCAAATGGTGGTAATCGACACGCGTATCTAGTCTTGTTAAAAACAGTTTTTTTCTAAGGTGAAAAAAAAACAATGAAAAAAACATGAAAAGAAATCGTTTTTTTCTGGAGTACGTTTTTTTCTAAAAGTAAGAAAATAAAAATATGACAATAAGACAGTTGTACTTTTTTACTACATTTCCTCTGTTGTTGTTAATATTATTCTTCATAAATTGCTCAAAATAAATGGGCAACACTCATACTGTTGTCAATTTGTGGCGGATTCCCCAAATTGTGGGGAATTTCAACTCGAATTTTGTGGGATTGACGCTATGTGGGGAAAATGCGGGGATTCTAACATTTTACTTTTTTTTTTAATCTATCGATTGCTGTTGCATCGCTACTTCGATGATTACTGTCAAAAACACTACTTATTTATCTAAGAGCGATATCGATATTTTTTTTCACATCGCACTTATCCCGTATATAGCAACATTTACATACAATTATTAGCAAGCCGCTTATATAAAATTATTCGGTGAGATTTGAATGAAGGAAACGGAGACACAGAAAATGTTGATGATATTACATTTTTTTTTACATTAAATTTTTGTTATAATTATCATGGTAATTGATTTTTATAAACATGTGATATATATATTTTTTTCAAGTTACAACACTACTCGTATCCCATAACAGTTACTGCTTGGCTGCAGAAATAGATAAGGTGGCAGTACTTCCCTAGACGAGTCATTAGACAAGAAGTTCTAAAAAAAGCAGCTACTGAAAGCTTACAAAAGATTTATATATGAATTTTCATATGCCGTAGTTGAGAAATGATTATTCTCTATATAAACTTTCACCTTCTTTAACATTTTTTTTGAGAAAAAGTAGTCTATGGGATACCTATGGGAAGGACATAGTCTAGTTATCAACATAGGTACAGCGGTTTTAAATTTGTTGATAAAAATGGAAGAAAATTAATTTGCTACTCCGCGAACCCAGTGAAGGTTAAACCGCGCAAAATAGCTACACTAGTGTTGAATTTATTTTCATGCAGTTAATTTTCACACCCTCCCTCCACAAAATTAATAACACAAGCGCAAATACACTCACAAACAACCACCAAAAATAAACCCGATACGTGTTACGCCTCTTTTGGCGGGGGGCAATCTTTATGTACCTATACCCCTGAGCCCAGGGAGACTCAGGGGTTATGTGGGGACTCTCCCTCCAGACTTGAGGGCCTACCCCACTAAAACCCCCCCCGGGTTGCCCTCTCGCCGGTTGAGTCGGCGCCGTGGGATCAGTGAACATTCACCACGACGCCGCCCGGCCGCCCTAGCTTACGCCAGGGCTCCCGCGCAGTGCAGTGCAGGCTCCGGAGTGTACCCCGCTGCCCTAATGTTACCATTGTTGAAACTCGAAAGAAAAGGTGATGATGCAAAATTCAATAGTTAATTTATTATACAACCCCTGTTGTTAAATTTGTTGGTTGAAAATGTACTTAATAGGCAGAGTTACTTCCGCATTTATAGTATTTTTGTTTGGTTAGCAATCTAATACAAGTAAAACAAATATGAAGGAAGCTATGATAATAATTAAGGAAACAAACAAAAAGGAACATTCATTATATCATTCTAAAACCATACAATCAAATCTAAGGGAGAAGCCACACGAGTGTTGCGTCAGCGTTGCGTCGTCGCAACTGCGTTGTACTACATATATATCAGAACGACATGCCACACGGGCGTTGCACCGTGTGGCATCTCCCTAAGAGCCTATGCATACAGCGTAAACGCGCGTCATCTGTGTCGCGAACTTTGATAAATAGTTTTAATTTATATAGATATATAGATAAAATCTTCATTCACCACCATGACAAATACGTGTCACAGACATTAACTCAGACGTAACACATATTCTGTTAATATCTCCGTTGGAAGTTATGGCAGCGAAAAGGCGCTGACTGAGCTTAAATGACGCGGCTGCCGGCGACACTGGTGTTCTGCAAGGATCCTATAGGACAGAGACGCCTCTCGTAAAACCCAAAACAAAACCAATTTAATTAATTTCAAACGAAACGAAAATTTCATTCAATTTAATTTTTTTTTAATTTTTTGAGCACCCTAGCCACTCATATTTTCAATACTCCTGCAGTTTCTACTTGAAAGTTCTTTTTGTGACGCTGTTATGGATAGGAGAAGGACAACAACTAGTGGCTAAATATCGGATAATGCATTTGATAATTATGACGGCGACCTACGCGGTCAGTATCTTTACAACTGGGGACAACAGTATCCACAAATCCTGATGGGTCCACTTGTGTTAAGCAACGGAACCATGAGTATTTGAAAATCTTTCTGGACCCACTAGTGTAACCAAGAAATGGGTTCTGCAGTCCTAGACGAAATGCAGTGGTACTATGACGGGGGGTTACAGGCAGAAACACTCTTCGTCGTCGACCTTGCTCCAAAGCAAGAGTTTACCGTGGGTGACCAAGTGAGTTTCTTATACAAATAATAAGGTATGTGAGACTGAAAATTTTAATTATATGTTTGTTACTATCAGTTAGTTCTTTTTTTAATGAAGCAACTACATGAAATTCTAGATGGAAACTCCAGTCCAACAATATAATATATTTATTATTAGCTTATTAAGCTTCTTGCTTGCAATGCGATGTTTGCACGGGTTTGAATCGATTCACTAAAGCGCGTCCGCAGCACTTATACGCGTATGCGCGTATAAAAAATATGCCGAATGCATACTTTTAGAACTTGCGTCGTATGCGCATATAAAATACGCCGTATGCGTAGACTCTTACAACTCTAATAGTGTAGTTGCGATGCCTAAACTAAGTAGACGAGTACCTATATTTCAGGCATCATCTCTGTACGTACTTTCTTTATATTACTTATTAGCTTAAATACAGATTTCCTGTATATATAGCCGGGTTTACGTCGGGTTAAAACCCATAAACGCCCAAAAATCGAATGCGAAAACTATTTAAAACTAAATATACGTTCTAAATCGAATTTTGTTTATATTTAATGATATTATTCCACAATGTTTATTGCTTTCTGATATGCCTTCTATTGAATCGATCCTTGAAAATCGCATTAAAATAAAACGGTACAAAAAATTGTTACATCGTAACTGAAATCGATTTTTATAAAAAACGAAATCTTAATGCACAGTCAACAGCACATCAAGCTACACATTGACGTATCTTGTTCCGTTACACTGATGGCGATTTTCGAACAAAAATGTGTAGTCTTATGTGCTGTTGTCCCTACATTCCTAGTAGTGAGAATCCACTGGTTTGCAAGGTTGGTATTGCACGGAGTTGCTTCTTTTTTGTCTAAGAAAGTAAGCAATTTTTTGCACCAATAAGTATGGAATTATACTAAATTCGATTACGAATAAATTCATGTTAAAGTTGTAAGTGCGCGTTACCAAAAGCTTGTCATGCCGTGAAACGGCTTCAACTGCCGATTTGACATTTTTAAAGCGTCTGAGACTTTATTCGTTATTCAGCTTTAAAAAGCGAACGTTCTGCCAGGTTCTACACTAATCGCCGTAGGTCTACCTTTTTTACATAAGTACACAAATCCATTTTACTATAACCTAACCTCTGGTTAAAAAAACCGACCTCAAAAGTCATTCATCCCCTAATTTGCCACCCTTAGAGGTGGAATATTTTCTTGAAATTTAAATGCCACCACATCTGAGGTACCTTCTTTCTAATAAAAAAAGAATTATCAAAATTGGTTCACAAATGGCGGAGTTATCACGTAACATACATACAAAAAAAGAAAAAAAAACACGGATTTGAGAACCTCCTCCTTTTTTTGAAGTCGGTTAAAAATAGAACAGTTTGGCTACCTGAGGTATCAACATAAGTTTCAGACACCATTCTATACAATGCTTTTTTACCTAAGCACAGGCACGTGGGACTTGGTGTCTTTATGTTTTAAGGATACAGGCGCAGTCTAAATCTTTCCTATGAAAACTGAGTTGCACTCCAACTATTATGGGTAGACGTGTCACTTACCACCAGGTGCATGACTTGTTCGTCCCGTCACGTTAATAGTAGTAATAATAACGCACGCGCTCATGGGCTTACGAGGTAAATAAATGTAGGTCATATAAATTTTTCTCCCGGCCTGGGAATCGAACCCGGGACTTCTGCGTGGCAGTCCAGCACGGTAACCGTTCGGCCACGAAGGCCTATGTCATAAAAATGAAATTTATAACAAAAAATTCTCAATTATGTACAGACGTGAACAATGAAATATAACCGTTCACATACTTTCCAATATAATATGTAAATATTAGATATTTCATAATTGTTTTGGGTTAAAAAATATATAATAAAGACACTGCACCCTTTTCAAAGAGGTGTACTTTTATTTCACAACTTCATTGATGCCACATCTCCAAAATGACGACTTTCCAGGAGAACGGCATAAGATTCTACTTTCTACGTTTAAATACGAGAGTTATAAAATTTCAAAAAAATTTGCAAATTGCAACGGAACAAGATACGTCATTGTGTAGCTGGATGTGCTATTGACTACATAATTTCTTTCGTGACGTTTCTTTGATATCACAAAATCATTTTTGACGTGTATATACAGTGGTACTTACTTCCTCTGAAAGTCGACGTATGTCTTAAGGCGAGCGGTGTAACGTGGCGCCTCATGCTCGCTGCGCTTCCGCATGAACACCACGAGGTCCTCATTGATCTTCTTCTTGTCGCTTTCATTGTTTTCCATATCGCTCTTAGAGCTACGTCAATGATGCCTGCGGTACCATCAAACTTAATTACCACCATCACCACTAACGAAACAATTATCAACAAGAGTGTTGCCAAAACAATAACCCGTATTAAACAACATCACATGAGTTGCTGTGATCCCAAGGAGTGGAAAATCGGAAACAATGACAATACCACACACCCAAACTCAATTGAACCCAGGACCACAGAGATGGCGACATCAGAGAAGCCACTAGACCACGGAGCTCCGCAAATCCATTGGAAACATTTTAGTAGGAATTTTGTAAATCTGTAACACCACGTGGTCCCAGAATTGGGCTCTCGTCCATTTCAGTTAGCGTACGGTGCGTTCACAATTTTGTAATAGTATCTAATCAACGCGCGAACGTAATTCATAACACATGTAAAAGTACTCTCACCGTATTGGCACGGCCGCTTGCAACATTTTATTTCACTTATCCCAATTTGGTTGTATAATGTATAAAAAATAAATAAATAATATGAAGAAAAACTACACACGTCTTACATAACAGAAAATTTCTTTGTTTCCCCGTTTGAATTAAGACGATAGTCTTTTTTTGAAATTTGTAATAGAAATAAGATGAACTTCAGTGCCAGTTCCATTTCAACTGTGAAAGAGTTTTTACTTGAGACCTAATAAATGTCAAAAAAGATAAACCAAAAAATGATTTACAATAAATATGTTTGATATAATTATTAATACAAAGATCGAACACTCAGAAAAATCCAAAAAGCACATAGAAAAATTCGTGAGGTCCGTTGGTTCGTTCCGTTGCTTAGAAAGTGCAAGAAGACGTCGGTTCGAATCCGACCGGATCGAAGGAATTTTTTCTGAGTGTTCGATCTTTGTATTAATAATTATAACAAACTAATGGAGTAATTTCACAAAAAATAATTGAATATCAATTCAATAAAAAATTAATTAATATGTTTAAATAATATTTTTTTCTTTTATAAATAATATTTTTTCTTTTTATTTTTTTTTTTTTTAATAATAATATGATTTATTTTCTCAAAAAACACAAAGGTACAACATAAACATTATAACTAACAATTACATAATCGGCCTTTGTGAGAGACTGGAGTCCGTACTAGGTTACTAGACCTGTATTACAGATCACCAGGCACTCACCCAACAGAACATTCCAACCAGAATATAATCAAAATAAAAGTGATTGAGAAAAAAAGGCAAAAGGGTTTTGTTAGATTATAAATATATAGTTACTGGCACAACTGCACACGAAGTGAAAATTATGGCATATACTTAAATGGTACACAAACAAATGTAACAAATCAAAAATTATGAAGCCAAGTTATGTGATGTAGATGTATGTGTATATGTGTGTATATGTGTGTGAGTATGTGTGTGTGAACGCACGCGAGAGAACGCGCTACCAAGATTTAACTGAGAACGGTAAGAAGACTTTCAGTCATAGAATAGTCAAGTCGTAACAACCAATTCGACACTACATGTTTGCAATCAAATCTGCAAAGCCCATAAATAACTAGTGAATGGTTTATTTTGTTATACAAGAACCCACTCAAAAAACAAAAGAATCGCTGAGCAAAACTACTGCTAGCGGCAAAAGGTGGATAAACATGATGCTGTCGACGTACAATAGCGAAAGATGTTGGATTGAAAACCACAAGGGAATGCGCTTTTAGATGATAATCATTGTATAATTTTAGTAGTAAGTACTACTACCTTACTTATTTCTGCCACTTAGCATTAATGTAATCATTGTGGCGTACCGGTTTTGAAGGCTATGGATGTGGGGGTCGATTAAGAATCTTACGATAACTCAATTGTCGACCGATTCGATACGATATCGTACGATTTCTTTTAATTTTTATTCACAACGTCATCGAATGTCAAGCTGTCGTATTCCAAACCGAACCTAAATAACGCCACATCCATGTCACACCCGCAGCCCAGTCACATAAGTAGAAACGTTTAGCGCGACCGCTGCTCGTAAAGTAAATTCACGCCAGGCCCGCTCGCGTGGCCGGGACGCTCTTTTAAGTTAAAACGTCAGGGCTAAATAAATATATAATATAATAGATAAATAAATAGAGCGTATTTTGCCATGAAATTGGCAAAGGCTACAAACGTTATTCAGAATACAATTTATCCACTGAAAATTACCGAACGTCCTAATGTTCACAAAATAAGAATGTAATATGGAAATCTCTTATAAATAAAGTCTGGATTTTGGTCAATTTTACTAATTTATTTTAACACAAGACTAAATTCATTCCTATATTTTAGGCCTTTAAAGTCATTGACTTACAAATAAATGGACGACGGGTCTAATACAAAAATCACGAAAAAAATGTCCCAAGTCAACCTATTTAAACGTAGTGACATGTAAAGGAATATGATAAAGCTAAAACGTTGAATTTAAATTGTAATGTCATCGCAGTACTGTCTAATTTTGCTTGCTTCGCTGTCAGAAGAAACAAACGAAGGCTAAAGCGTGAATGACGCTCTGTATACGATTTTAACGCCCTATAAGTTTGGACACTTTTTAGCGCGAACCCGACGTCCATATAATTGTAAGTCAATGTTTAAAGTCTTAAAAATGTATTTAACCCTTTTAGGTTTTCATTTTTCTTATGATCTATTTCACCGACTAACTCCGTAAACGCTGTTGGATAACGATATCTAGCTCGTCAAGCGCCGTTCGATTCGAGAACGATTTTAATTTAGTTTTTTTTTTCAAATTTTTAACTGTTTTTTTGTAATAAATGGTTTCTATTCTATTCTAAATATCCAAAAAAATTTCGAATCGGGGTCCTGGTCTAATCACAGGCACATGAAATTTGTGTAATTTGACTAAGTTCCGCTCAAATCTTTGTGATTTAAAGCTATGAGTGGCACTGCAACTGTTATGGACAGACGTGTCGCTTACCACCAGGTGGACGACTTGTTCGTCCTGTCATTTGACATAATTAAAAATAAAATTGTTGTAAAAGTAACATAAAGAAGGTATTTATTATTAATATAATTTTTTAAAGACTTTCACACATACATATTTAAATAACTTAGTACGCTTACAAGTGATATCAAGTTAGAATACCTATTAACTGCCTCAGTCGCCGAACGTTTACCAACTGCCACGTAGAGGTCCCAGGTTCGATTCCCGGGTCGGAAGAAATAATTGTATGGCCTGCATCTATTTCTCTCGTGAGTCTGGGTGTAATTTGTGGTTGTCTATGTGTGTGTCCATGGCACTCGTAATACAGGGTCTTTTAGTGCGGGGCTATGAGTATGTACGTTAAAAAAAAGAATAGGTTTACGAAGTTTGGCATTTTTTAAAACTTTACAGAACAATTTTTTCATTCAATACTTAGCATTGTCAGTTCAGGATGCTAATGGAGCTGCCGCGACGCTGTAGTGCATCCGGCACACAGATGGCTTTATTGCGAATAATGGTATGAAGCCTCATCCTAGCCGTTGTTGCCAACTGGACTGCCCCTACCAACAACATTGGGTGCAACTACACGTGTTTATGATAGTGGTTTTTTTCTCTAGAATTAAGTAATTTTGTATGGTACTAACTATAGCACGTAAGAAAAATTTACTGTATTTACTAACATTACTACGGATTATAGTCTGAAACAAATAATTCTATTTTATTCTATTCTATTACAAGGTTCTAAATTGTTTTGAAAATTCGACACAAATTTCTTCGCGCTCGCCCCGCGCGGCCGCCGAGCGGAGCGTGCGTCTAACTGCCATGGCAAAATACGCTCTATTTTTTAGCCTTTATGTTTTAACTTAAATGAACGTCCCGAGCACGCGGGCGAGACTGGCTTGAATTTGATCTACGCGTCTATGTTGTTGACTAGTAAATAGAATTCAGAATCGCCATTAATGTACATGAAGGCGTGGTAACTGGACGGTAACGGCGTTTAGTTTAAAATTAAATATCAGAATGTGATAGTACAGCCGTACCCCTTTTATTTGAATTAATAAAAGCTCTACGGCACAAATAAAAGTAGTGATATTTTTGTGTGAATTACGGAGATGGGTAATTGCGTGTGATTTCGCATAGAAACATTCGTAAGGTCCGCGAGTTCGTTCCGTGGTTTAGTTTGCATAGCGTCTAGCACTGTTTGCTAGAAGACGTTCGGGTTAATTCTTAACTACGTTGAAAGAGCTGACTGAAGTGCATTGTTGTCAATAGTGAGGTGCAGTAAAATTTATGGATGTATAATTTGACGACACAAGTTTTTTATAAATGATATCTGATAACATCGTCACTTATGGGATCGCTGGCCAGCACAACTTCTACCTCCGGCAAACTCCCGTCAAAGCTCAATGCAAAACAAAGCAGTTTCGTATTGACGATATATTAAGTAAACATTTTTACTTTCGTTTTATTAAAACTTTTTAATCAACTACCCCTTATAATACTAGTTATAATTCTAAAAACTTATAAATGCGATTCGCATTTGATTATATTTTTTTCAATAATGACTTGAGATTTGACCTCCCTATTGTAATCTGTCAAAACGGCCATCATAGCGTGCCGGTACTGTAGTGGAGTAATTTCACAAAAATAATTTAATATCGTGATAGTCAAACGTCGTGATATTCAATAAACTTAAAAAATAACTATTGCTTTCTGATCTAGTCAATTCGATTTAACTTTCTATTGAATCGATTGGTTTGAGAATCGCATTGAAATAAATCAATACATTGTGTGGATCGATTTTCATAAAAATCGAACCGTAATGTACATCCTTAGTAGTGAGTGAGAGTTACCTCTTTTTCGTCTAAAAAAGATTTTTTTACTTCAAACTTTGCAATAAGTATGGAATTATTTCCGCCGACGATTTTGGGCTGATATGGATTAAAACCCGGCAATTCTGGCAAAAAACCCTGTTAAAACACGGGCAGTTTGATTGGGTTTTAACTCACTGCCCATCTCTGGTGCGATACTATTTAAGTATTATTCATAAACGGGTAAAAAATTACCGCACACAAAAATGTTCGTACTTTTCTAGCCGTAATCCTTATATCGATTCAATATAAAATGTTTAATGTATTCAAATCATTGAATTTCGTCAGTACGTTGTTGATGTAAAAGCAGTAAGCGGCGACTATACAAAAAGCCATCCATACAGCGAAACGAGGTACCCCTTTTATTCCTACATCTATGGGTACACGGTACTATCAATCAATCAATACATTCATTTGTCATCATAGGTCATAAATACTTATTTATTTATTTATTTAAGATTTACCAACATTACATTATTACAATCTTAATATCGTAAACTAAGGGACACCTTAAAACTAAATGTATCAAACAGTTAATAAAATATAAATATAATAATGCACTTGCTTTACTACAAAAACAAAACTACACAAGAATAAAAGTAACTTGTTGAGTAAATGAATTAACTGTAAGAAAAGAAATGGAAAAACAAAAACACATATTTAATCAATTGGGAGTATAACAGAACGTATCCTGATGATACAGACTTATCCTTCGTTCACACTTCATTGTCCTGCACGATTTTAACGTATTCGATTATAAACGGACAGACAGCGGGGTGAAGACCCAACGGCTTTTCCACCAGAAGAACCGAAGATATTGGATTCATACAATGAATTAAGAAGCAGTGCGTACAAACACATTTGATAAATTGTACGAAAGTCTTAGAAATGATAAAAAAACGGGCCTTTGTTCGACTTAAGATATCAATAAATCGTTGTCCACTAAAGATTTGCTGGTCATTTTGTATTAACAAAAAAAAAGAAAGATACTCCAATACGACACGCCGCTTGTTCGGTGACTATACGATGAAAATCGTATGACTTCGCGCCGTGTGAAAGAGATGCATTAACACTCTGCGCCACTAAACGACGAATACGTTAAAGTTCATTCGATTTACTTGACAAGTCCGTTGCGTATTCGATAAACGTTTAGAACTGTGTGCGTTTTTTGCTGGACAAACATCGTGTGAACGGATTTATAACCTAATGTATGCGCCCCTGTTTATTCGGTAAGATTAATACTGCAAAAAAACGTGCAGTAGGGGGCAAGATGGGGCACTTAACGTTTGAAGCTCAATAAAACTGACAATGTTGTGTCTATATAAACTTATTTATTTTAATAATCGTCTTTGAGAATCAGTCTTCAATAGTTAAGTCTTTTTAGGTACATTTGTAACTTAATTAATACCTACTTAAAAAATCTTAAATCAGAAAATGTAATGTTACCCCATGTTGCCCACCTCGTAGGGTAAGATGGGGTACCCTTAAGGGGCAAGGTGGAGTGCAGAACAACCATCATAATTATTACAGACAAAACTCGCATGTGAACGTTGCATCTTCATCTTCTATGCCAGCACAACTACAGTGAGTCCATTTGTAGCAAACAGAATAAGTATTTTCAACATCACTGTCGCTGTTTTCCTTTAATGATATTTTTTTACTTTTTCTTTTTAGGTGCTCTTCTGGTTTCCATCTTTTTTAATACTCTCATTTCTTTTTTCCTTTGCTTATTTTCCTTTGCAAGCTTCTTTCTTTTGTCGTCTCTTCCAAATCTTGTTTGTATGGTGAGGAAGTAATGACTGCGGTTTTTCCTTTTTTTTTCTAATTGTGCGAGAAGTTTTTCGTGTTGCTGGGAAGGGCATTGTTTGTTGGGGACTCGCAACTAAAAATGAAGAATATTGTGGAGTACTTGGTCGACCGTGTATTTCTGAGTTATCGAGCCAAAAAGAACATCCGGGCATAGCATTTGGCCTTTTTGCAGTCATTGTGATGGGCGTAGTATCAGTGATAATTGTGGTTGCTGTAGAATTATTTACCTCAAGTCCAGAAAGTGACTGGTTATTCAGTTCTTTTTCAGACTCGGCAGATGATGAATGGAGGAATCGTCTGACGTGTCGTATATATATAAGTTTTCACTATTCTACAACATAATAAACACATTAAATTAAATGTCTTATACGAAAATTTTGAAAGATACTTATGACCAAAGCCAAATTTAAATTAAATAAAATTACTAACTAAAACAATACACGACATGTCAACGAACAAGTGCTTACCTGTCGGCGTAATAATTGACATTCAACACTAACTTTAAATCAAAATTCGAAATAGTATTACTGATCCAAAGGACACGTAGTAAGTAAAATTAAAATTCAGTAGCAAATTGCAAAAAAAAAAACAGTTTTTTCTTCGAAAACAAACAAAATAAGTCGTTTCACGGCTCGGTCATTTCTGTTACTAATTGTCGTCTTGGCGGTATGACGTTGTGCGTTAAAGCGATTGTGATTGGTCAACTCGTTCATAATTTAAAACCGAGTGCCCCGTCTTGCCCGCCACCCCGTCTTACCCCCCTTTCCCAATGCCGTGTGAACGGGTTATTTAACACAACTCTAGGAATGGCGGCTGAAAAGTAATATCACTATAATTTTCCAATGAAAACAATAGTGGTCATTATCATGACACTTTTCTTGTATTTTACACTTGTATTTTAAATTATTACACTCTTTTGTTCATTACGTTTCGCTTTACATGAACAAAATGGCGAAAGAAAAAGCAAAATGTTTAAAAACGGGCAACAACTTTTTTAACAGACTCTATCTAACCATTAATTCCCTTTCTAACGAATATACCTGATAAATGCATTAACTGTTTACATTACCTGTATAATTTCATATTGAAAAAAAAAACAACCAAGGTAAAGCTAGAATATCATATAGATAATCGTTGTAGATTGATAGGTAAATTACTTTCAGTCGCCTCTCGTAATTCATCTCTTACAGAGGGATACGAAAAGAACAATGGCCAACTCCTATGTAAATTATTGTTGACATAATTTGTGTACGTCTGTTTATAAAAAATTAGTGAAAATTATAGAGTTAAGTAAAATTCCTGAACAAATTTTGTTTTGAGTTAACTATTCTGAGAAGTCTAGAATTAAAGATATTCCTATTTATATAGATTGTTTGAAGTTTTGGAGGTTATGTGTTACGTAATTGAATAAAATATATATTCGGAGTATTATTATATAAAAATAAACTACAGAAGCCTAAACAGAGTTAAAAGAAGTTGAATGGTACCGTGGGTTTGTCACGTGCCGAAAGTTCAGAGGAAAATATTTTTATACTGGTATACTGGAGCATTGAAGCTCACGCTTTTTAAAGCATTTTGCCAATCATTTTACACGTGCAGCTTGTGGGTCAAGTATACACAGAAAGCGTATCGCGCCCTGTGCGTCCAGTATAATGACGCACTCAGAATGCTGTTGGGGTTGCCGCGCTACTGTAGCGCTTCAGGAATGTTTGCCGAGGCGCGTGTGGACGGTTTTAGCTCCATTTTGCGGAAGCGGGTGGCATCCCTGATGCGCAGGGTGCGGGGCAGCGCCAATGGCATTCTTCGAACAGTGGCTGAGAACGATGGGCCCATATTGTATAGGTGGATAAGGGTACATTGTACATTCTAGATAACTCTTATTAACATAGATGGTAAGGATATTGTTACTAACACTTTATGGATATCTTGTCTGAAATAAAGATTTTGATTTGATTTGATTTGATATAAAAACTGAATTAATTAATACATACCACAGACTGTTGCACTGGTAACTTGGACACAAATTATTTTTTTTGTGAAACGTGTCATCCGTCCCTGATTTTGGAAACTTTTTTGTCAGTCTTACCATTTTTTCGCGTGGCATTTTAGAGATGGAATGACCTATTTTATTTTTTGTCATGACGTAGTTAATCTCTTATTACAAATCGGTCGAATCAGTACTTTGACATTACTTGAACTAACTTAATGTGGACCATATCCGTAAGTACTGATATTCTTTTTTTGGCGGATAGATGTCGCTCAACGTTAAGAAACTAAGATACTGACAGTTGTAGATGTCAGTCCAGTTACATACTGATTAGTCAGTACAGTTTCTTTTAAATATGATTTTATTTCTAGATTTAGATAGGCCGGTAGTATAATTTGAAAACCTAATGAATTTATTTTATTCAAACTTGTAATTAAGAAATTTGAAGATGCTAACAAATTCTTTTAACTATGATTTTGCCATTGTTCTATAAATGTCCAATCTAATTAATTTATTAAATATTAAATTATACATTCCAAGATCAAGTAATATTTCTATTCTATTAGTAATATCACATTCTTGTATTCAACGGGTTAAATACCCTAAGTTATCGAAGTGCCTGAGTTCTAAAAGAAATACATCGAAATAAGGTGATTACAGACTACTATAGAAAATAATCTACGAAAAATATCTTATAGAAATCTAATACAGACATTAGATACCAGCCAAACAGGAACAAGGTTTTATTCCCAAAAATGGGTTAATGGTTCGGAATCCATGCCTTAGCATTAGGAAAGACCATTTTACAAATAACACTTCCATAAATCTTAACTCGTCGAAAATAGGTCTCATTCCGTCTGTACAACTGTACAAAAAGTTTGTATGAAGTTAAAAATACATTATCGGAAGTGTTCGGTTGTATTCGTAAAGCGTCGTAAAGAATCGTCAGTGCCCGGCCGCCCGCCCTCCGACTTAGGCGCGTACGCATTCTAGGGCGGCAAATTATATATCTGTCTACCATTATTATTGTTTAATCTGTTTATTAACTATTTATATTATATTATTGTAACATATTCGTGTGTGGTAATAATTAGCGGTTCTGTAAAAGTGTTATAAAGGGAATAAGGGAACTTTAAAATAGTATTATGGAAGTAAATGTGGTGTGGTGAAAGTTATTTGTGAATGAAGTGGATATACTCTTAAAATAGTACAATCTGTAGTATAGGAAATATACTATTTATACGACATTATTTATTAGTTTAACATTTAGTAAATAACAGAAACGTTATTTAAATTGTTAAAAATATTTAAAAATACTTTACAGTCCCGTTCATTTCACAGTTAATACCTACATGGCATTTGGCATAAAACCCTCACAATGGCAACGGCGTTTAAAAGATATTACCATATTGAATTGTGAACGAAAGAAAATGCATTCCGAAACTCGTCCGAGTGCACGTGTAGTTACTGTCGTTTATAAATAAACAGACAGGCATCATGACGTCACTTCGGGATAGCCATGACGTCATGGAAGGGGAGGACAAGACAAGACAAAGCAAAAAAGATAAAGAGGTAGTTGACCTGCCTCCTATTGGAACTTCCCTTCATAAAAGAAGAAGAGGTGAACCACCCGCTACTCTATCGGTTAAACCTCATACACCCTCTGACCCTGAAGGTTCCTCACCATGTACAGCTGGGCCTACATCAGAAGAATACTGGCTGGAAGAAACAGATCCTGATGTATTCTGCGACAAAATTATTGAAAGACTTAAAGATAAGGACGATCTTCCTTCTAAACGTGGTCGAGAACTTGCCATTAAGACAAAAGAAACAATTGAAGTTCTTGATCAACTAGATAAATTACTAGAGTTATTAGACCAGTTTGTTACTTTGAAAGAGCAGAACGGTAAACTACTAAGGAAATTGAGAGATGTAAACTATTTAAAAAGGTTACACAGCGCGCATAAGAAAATTGATAAGGAGAATGAGAAAATAAGAAAGGAGACAAAAGAAATAGAAATGTTAAATGAAGCTTTTGAGGGTGAATTAGAGTTTGAGTATGGACAAGCAATTCTCGACAACATGATCACTGGAACAAGGATGAAGAGATCGGGATCAAAATGGAAAAGTCACGGGAAGTTTGGAGGATCGTTGCTGAGGAAACAAAGATCGAGGTCGTCTGAAGGAGATGAGAATGACGTACCTCCTGGCACTCCCTCCTCCTCATTGAGAAGGAGGTCTGAAGGCATTTATGCGAAGGAGGTGGAGAAATCGAAGGTCTCCAAATGGACGAGAGTCAAGGCTGCGTTTAAGTAAGTTAAAGTTTCATCTTCAGTATTACACAAAATTCAAAAAATATAAATTATTTACATTGATGTAAAAAAACAAACAGACGATAGAAGAGACAGCCGTGATGGCAAGTAAGATGCAAAAAACATATAGTTCTGGGTTTTTGTAACGGTCATCCGTACCGTTATTGCTCTGAATGAGGCTTTTATTCAAATTTAGAAAATGTCTTTATTATCTTTGACAGAGGAAACTTATACCTATGATCCTCACATGTTACTGAAGATACTTTCGTTTGTGAAAGTCCGGTGTTCATACTAGGATCAACCTGTGTTATAAGGCACCAGGCTCTCATTGCACCTTTCCACTTAGGGAGATGTAAGAAAGATAGGCATAAGACAAAAAGATAAATTGTTGATCCCTAAACACGAAAGTTGGAATTTAACGCATGGTGCGTAAACAACGCTTCTTTGATTGAATTTTGTGAACATTTGTGAAGAAAGCTCTGGAAGTACGTAAGAAATTGGAGAAAGATTGACAGTTCCGCGAGCTTTTTATAAGTTCAATAAACACATTACTTTTGTTTAAATTATTTCGTTGGTTTTCTACGCAAAACTCCTCTGGGTAGATACTATTAATCGAGTGATTTCTCCCGCACCACTTTCTTGCTTTTTAATATGCACTTACCACTTTCCATAAAGTAGGCCTTATAATATAAAAAGGCCTGTCATAGCATAAAATTTCATTTCTATTTCATTGTTCTCCAAAAATGTTTATGGCGCATTTTACACTAGATCAATAAGTCGAATCCCTTCGAATACATTATATTTCGATTTTTAAGGAAATCGATTCGACATTAAGGCGAATCTAATCATCTAGATCGTATTCATTATTTAAACAAATCGTCACTTTCTGAACCTCTTCTGAATCGTAAAGCTGATCCTATTTTATATTGATCTGCCGTAAATTGTCGACAATATCGTAATTGTCGATAGTTGTTACTTCTGTGCAATCTGAACGTGTCTCACTGGCTTACATCACGCTAATTAAAAGTCGTAACCGACTGAGGCCAAAAGAGCTGTCAAAAGTATTATTTTTAACAAAATCATTTTGAAACGATTTTTATGAAATTAAGTAAAAGCTATCGAGTTTTTAGGTTTTCGCGATTGTTACACATAGGAAATGAAACTATTTTTCTGGATTTAAATCTTTGTTGTTTTTTTTTCAAACAAACCAACGTTACGAGCCCTTTACAGGTCCCATGGTCACGGTAGACTGAGGTGGTACAGTCATCAACCAGTTATGTTATGTGGACTCAGTGGAGCGAAAAGCTGGAGTCGTAGCTACAGAATCTCGATCGGTCAGTTTTCTATCGGATACATTTCGGGGAGTGTGCCAAGGAACGGTCGACTAGAAGGTCTGGAGCACTCCATTTTTATGTCGTAGATGTTCCACCTATTCGCATTAAGCGCTATGCATCCTCCTTGCTGATGTGTACGGCAAAGCAATAGAATGCAATAACTGTAATCTGTATTGCCCGAAAAGTAGAATTTGGGGCTATTCGATTCAAAGCTAGAGTGAATAGGCATTTTAAGGCAAACGTGTCCCATCGTCGCTTATCATCAAGTGAGATTGTAGCCAATCGTGTGTCTATTATATATTAGAAAAAAATGTCTAATATTAATACAAACCACTCTATTTTTTCACTATAATTACGAAAGTTATTAATTATACAATACCTTATTTTTAATTTTACAAAGAAACATTCGAATTTACGTTACATTACGTTTTACAAATTATTTTATTGAATGAATTTTCATTAAGTTAAATTTATTGTTAATTAATAATACAAATTAGAAAAAATTAAAACATATTAATTAGTACTGCAGTACTGACTAAGTACTGAAGTACTGGATCCCAAACTGGTGGTACGGAGAAACCATCTTCCCTGTTGAAATTAAGACGTTTTTTTAAAATAAACGCGCATGGTCATAGCTAATGCATTTCAATTTCGCTAATTTCGGTATTTTAGCACGTAACGATCTTTTTTCGTAGTCTTTAGTAATTTATGTTGCCTTAGTACTTATGAGGGCAGAATAGGAAAAGTACTCATAACCAAATATTCTTAGGCCGCTCCCTTACTGGAAGCTATTGAGTTTATAACCAGAAATAGAGACGAAATAAGGGCCGGACATTCCTGGCAACTCATCAGTAATACATTACTTATAAATATAGGAGAAATATTTGTATGGCCTACATTTATTTCTCTCGTGACTTTGGGTATAATCTGTGGTTGTCTAGGTGTGTGTCCATGGCACCCGTGACTCAGGGTTTCCCTAGGGCGGGGCTATGTTGAGTGTGTGCATTATTATGTGCGTTATTAAATATCAAACTCTCGTTTGCACTGAAATTACAAATTAGAAAGCTGAAATAGTACAGCGCCAACAACTGACCTGTGTATACGTCTCCGTACATTCCAAAAATATTCTCTATTTATTGTAATAAAATAATATCTCTAACAATGGCGTACTGTTCCATTCGGTTGTGTGGGGTAGAAAACAGCAAAACCTCTAATTACAAAACAAACTGAATCAAATTTCATCGGTAATTAAATAATAAATATGTAATTTTGCAATTTTCGTCCATTATAGCAAAGCTCAAGTTAACTGGTGGATTGAAGTGAAACAGTTGACGACACCCGTCAATTGTTTCGAATTCGGGCTGGCCAATCGGAGCGCAGTTGTCACAGTAATGATATGGCAGAATAGTTTTCAACCAAATTAAATGACATTTCGTCTCTATTTCTGGTTATATACTCGATGCCGGAGCATTCGCCTGTAATGTAACAATCCAAGATTTAACTACGGACAAGCAAGCGTGTCGCTTACCACAGGCGCACGACTTGTTCATGCCATGGCTTTGGTATGATAATAATCTTACTACAGAGTTACTAAAAAAAACAACCTCAAAAGTGCGTGGAATTACATCTATTAGCCAAGTTTGATTGAAATCGGTTACCGGAAAGTGCGCGAAACCGGTTTCATCCCCTATTATGAAATATTTACTTAAAATTTCAATGCGACCAGTATATATATCTCTTTCCAACGAAAAAAGAATCATCAAAATGTCGCCGGAGTTATCGCGTAATATACATACAATAAAATTACTGTGGCCGAATGGTTACCACGCTGGACTGCCACGCAGAGGCCCCAGGTTCGATTCCCGGGCCGGAAGAAATATTTGTATGGCCTACATTTATTTCTCTCGTGAGTTCGGGTGTAATTTACGGTTGTCTATGTGTGTGTCCATGGCACTCGCGACACAGGGTTTTCCTAGTGCGGGGCTATGTTGAGTGTGTGCGTTATTATTATTACTATAATTTTTTTTTTGGTCAGTTAAAAAAACGTGAACAGCTTTCTCCACGATTGGCCTACTGGTACCCAAAACAGATGAGCTGGCGCACAGTGACAATTAACTAAACAATATTCTATTTGGTTACATTACCATGTTAAGGGTTATGTAATAATACCTAGAGTAAAACACAACGTTGCCAAAACATATTGTATAGGCAATTGGCATTGTGCACTGTTACACTTCTATAATTACTGGTTTAATTATAGTCGGTTATTAACGTAAGAAACGAGCAGAATGCCTTTTTGCGCAACTTCATACATTGTGACTCAAGAACATGTATCGCTCAAGACTTATTCCTGATTCGGTGTCAAAAATCTCAAAACTTTTTTTTATGTTACCAAGTGACGGGACGAGCAAGTCGTTCGCCTGGCGGTAAGCGACACGTCTGTCCACAACAGTTGCATTCCCGCTCATTTTTAAATCGCAAAGATTTTAAGGGCATTTGCCACTGCACCCGACACTATAAATTGACAAGTTCATTTTGTCCGTAATTTCACCAGGACCCTTCAAAACCGGAATGAAGTAATATTCATATTACTGCTTGGCGGTAGAAATTGGAAAGGTGGCAGTGTACTTCCCTGGACGAACTCTTTTACAAGGTGCTCTACTGCCACTAACAACCTTGAAAAAAAAACTTTGTCAAAAAGTCACCAGCAGTCGTTTAAGCCCATTTATTTATTCCTCTCCAAAAATGTCAGTGTCTCAATCGTTGTCAATATTCAGACGAAAATGTTCACTATATCTAATGACTACTAAAAACAAAATATATATTATCTTTTCTTAAAAAATTTACTAAATATTATCTATATTTTATTAGAAGTTATAGCTATTGACGAGTGATGGAATATTTTTTCGTCTTATAGCTGGCTCTCTACCTAACTAGAATTCTTCTATTGAGTAGTAACTTTTCGTAATAATTTCTATTCTATACATCTCTAAATTGGATGTAGGGTTGGATAATTTGGATTTGTCACTTTAAACAGGCTCAAATGTTGATGAGTGTTTTTGAAGAAGTTATTGGTCCTTCTTTTCACATTTTCGTCCAGGATAATATGCGCCTGTAGACCATGCTTATTCATATCTTCAAACATTTGGGTCAGGCATGGCTACCTCTTACTGCTTTACTAAATTTCAACACCAAAGTCGTGGAAGACTTGTTTATAAATTATTAAATGAAATGTTTATTTGAATGTCCAACGCGCTGTTTCCCTTTCAAAAATAATTTTAGAGATTTCTGTTTAATGTACAAAACCAGAAATCCTTCCAAACTACCATTATATTAAAATTTATGTAAATGGTTCAGGATGTATAAAACTATGTGCCACAGTTGCGATTTGCAAAGAAGTTGAAACAGAAAGACAAATCCATATACCCTTACATTCAAATAAATTTTTTGCTAATTCTGCACTCACAAATTCAAATTGTCGTTGTAACTCGGAAGACGACCAAATTGCCATGGAACTGAGCTTGCAACATCTCCCGCATACTGATCGAATAGAGGGCCAAGATACCCAAGGAGTGGAAGCCCCGAAAAGCAGACGTGGTAGACCCAGACAGCGATAACTGCATAATTTGGACTTCTTTTTTAATAGATATTACTCAAATCAATCAATGAAAAAAGTGGGGAAGGCCTTTACCTAGCAGTGGGACAGCCCCATTATCTTTCTACATAAGTTTTGTTTCTAGTGGCCGTCTCTAACACTTCTCGGTTATGCGGGAAGGGCTCTGTAACCGGTGCGAGCAAGCCCGCACAGGGGCCTTCACAGTCAGGTTCTGACTCCAGATCGTTCTGTTTGCACGAAGTTCATCCGGTTATCAAAAGGTACGTGCACCCGGGGCGACTCACCCGAGGCACTAACATTTCGAAGAACCGGAATCAAGTGACAGAGGTCTGTGATACCCTGGCTGATCTGGGATCAGAACTTGAACTTATAAGTTTCCTGTGCGTGCACAGGTTATGGTGCCCTTTTTGCATACCCTTAGGAAGGGTCACTATAATCAAAACTAATGTAGGAAGATATGGGGCTGCCTCCGTGGCCAAACGGTTACCATGCTGGTCTGGTACTTCGAAATATTTGTGGTGTACTACATTTACTTGTGATTGTCTATGTATGTATCCATGGCAGCGGCGATACAGGGTCTTCCAGTGTTCTATTTTATTTATTTATAACAATAAAATAAATAAATCTGCGTACAAAAATAATGAAATATACGCATAGTGTCGTCATTCGATGTCGATTTCTCGAAAGTTTTAGTGATATTACAGGCACATGGGACTTTTCAACTCATGTTTTAATATGATTGGCCTTGTGTCAATGCCCCTCAAATTTTTGCAATTTATGCGTGCCGCTTACCACCAGGCGCACTCCCGTCTGTCCCGTCCCTTGATATCTTTAATTAATTTATTTGTTTATTTATTTCATACATACAGCTATTTCACACAGGACCATCCTAGAACCATAGTGTAGCATTTTGTAACATAATCAATCATATATCGTAACTAAAAATAATAATGATTGAAAATTAGCAACAATTAATTAAAGACAATTTCTAATAAAGGACAATAATGAACAATATACAATGAAGTAGAATTATGAACACAGTGCTGCTTTCATGAACTCGCTCTGAAAACAAGTAAAAATATCTATTTCTTCAGCTACTCGATTTAGTCTGTGAATGGTGTAAGAGGCGCCTTGTTAAACAGAAACATAAAAAAGAACTTTCAATTTGGGACTTTTCAAGGCTATATGCATAGTGAATATAACTTTACTGTGATACATCGTCAGCCACAATGTCGCTTAACATCAGGGGATATTGTGAACAAACGTCCGTCTTGTCAAAATAAAATTTGCATCCTGCCCGAACTTCAAGTTTCATAGTCAGCCTTTAAAAATGACACCAGCGACCACCGGCTTAAAAAAGAACTCTGTCCATTTTCCATATTTTTAACCTTAAGGTCTACGAAGGTGAACCTGTAATTTATAGCGTTTTTTTCACCAGATGGGAAAAAGCCCAATGGCCACTAGCTACCAGTGCAGCAGGAGCCGTCGCAGCAGGGGCTATGGTCGGAGTCGTGGCTCTCGCTGGCTCTTATCCTTCAGGGACTCTGAGCAACCCCGAACCCAGAGACTCCGCAAGTTTAACTCCTGGCAGCGCATTGTCGCTAACTCCAAATTCTTCATGTGAGGAGTTGAGAATGGATTCAAGTAAGTTATTATTTCACATAGCTTTATAGAAATGTTTTTTACGAAAAATATTTTTGGAGTAATATACTTTAAATACGAGTATATGCACACTTATAACTGTATGTATATATTGCAAAGAATATGTAAGTATTTATTCTATATAAGAGTACACACTGAAATAACACGATATACATATAAGGCATAAGTAGTTTATTTTATTTTCACTTCGCGATGCACAAGTCCGTCACTCACTCGGCTAGGGCCCATTGAAAACCAGCGTCACAGCCTAGTCTTGGTTGTGACTTTAGCTGAATGGGATACTTTTGCGTACGCCATTGCGTACGCATGTTGTTTAAATGGTGTTTTTTTTGTGTTATTTCTGTTTCTAAATATTAGTTTTTTTTTGTGCCTTTTTTTTATAACGTTGCGTTGCAATAAACGGTTTCTACTTCTATAACTGTGACCTGAAGTTACTACCTTCGAAGCCAACATTTACATAATAAGATCCCAT